CCATAGACGATACTTAAGTACTTTCAGTTGTTCTGTATTTAAGTGCCTTTAAATTAAGCCTAAAATGAATAGCGTCAATGCTTATGTCCTTTTTACTGCCTGTTAGAGTGTTCTTAGCTTTCATTGACATCCTACCAGAAGATAGATAGTCCTAAAAGATACGAGACTGACTGAGCAGAATTTATTGCCTGGGGCTATTGAGATTCCTGGGTTGTTTCACAGCATTACATGCAGCACCAGATTCTTTTACTTCTCAAAAACCAAGCTAGTCTGTGTGCTTATTTAGCTAAAGCAGCCTTCAGGCATCACAGAATCATGTTTTCTTAGAGGCTGGTAAAATAGGTAAATATTGCTAAATACAGTTAAATAAGGAGGGGGCAACATTAGTAAGCGGGAAGGAATGAAGAAACTTCCCTAGGTGAGCTCTGTATTCCATGTTGAAGGTAGCCCATAGAATCATGCATTCAGGTTATCTACAGCTTTATCATCTTATTTGAGTCCTCAGGGAAAAAAAAATAAAAACCTTGCATATATTTGAGCATATGAGATAAAAAGGACTGAGTATATACAAATGTTATTTGAAATGTTATTGAAGAGTATTTCTTCTTAAGCTATTTGTATGAAAGGAAGGAAAGAACAATTGTTTAAACTGAAGTACTGTGTTATGCAGGACGTGTCTCTTGACTGTTATGAACAAGAATACATTCAGAAAAAACCCGCAGTAAAATGGAACAGTGTGGTGGGATAGTACTGTTGCTAATTGTTAGTGATCATAAAAGGTAATGCCTTGAGATTATAAATATCTTTGTGATTCTAGTTTAGGTAAATGCTGGCATGAGAAGGGGGTTATCAGTGAAGTGAGAAAAAGGAAGCTTGGAATAAAATATTTCTCCATTTGTTTTCCACTAGGTATGAATTCATCCAGAGAGGTTTGTTCACAGCCCAAGATATTGGATTGGTTCCATCCGTGTATACCCGCAACCAGCAACTTGAGGCTGCGAATGTGTGTTTGAGGGAAGATTTGGAAAACTATAAACTTGCTGCAATGTATGTTATTTGGTCTTAATGAAACTTTGATATGCTGCAGTAAATGGCCAGAGAAAGTACACCCAAGTACTTAAGGGAAATAATAAGTTCCTGTTTGTTATGCTGGCTATGCATATTTTTACTTCTAAGTGACCTTTATAATTAAAGTTCAATTTTCTCTGGGCTCTATTAGAAATCTAAATCTTAATTTCTTCTATTTGTATTTACTGGGCAATAGAAAATAATTTTCAATATCCAGTAATCACAACAAATTACTACAACACATCATGAGAGTATATTATGTAGAACTAGAAAATAAATGGTTATGTGCATTTTGTATTAAAATACAGTGCTATAAATTACAGCTACCACAAAACATCAACAGAGGGAAAAAAATCACTATACATTTATCCTTCATTTTTTCAATTGCAAAATATCTATCACTCTGGCCCTAGTGGTAAGTGGTGTGTCATTGTAAATCACCATTGTTCATTATACTTGTGTGTACATTGTAGTAGCTGATTTTACATGTCAGTTATACTTTGGTCATAAGAGTTAAAATATTTAGCTTATCTAATGGAGAGATGCACTGAAAAAAATGTTGATTTGACTGGTTGGAAACCAAGGCTTTGAGCAAAGAAAGCCTCGTATTTTGCTGTATGGATTAGTCAGAAAACTTTCATTGTGAGATACAGTGCTGTGAAGTGTATTTGAATAAAGCTTTTAATTACATTTGGTATTTCTGAGCTTGGTACTCTTGAGAGCCGTCTTGCAGAAAAGAGATGTTATTTGGGATTTAGGCGGTATAAGGGGCCTGGGATAAATGAGTGTAAACCAATTACCTCCTGCTTTAATGTTATTTAGCAATTGGTGGAGGAGATTCAGTGTCTAGAAGCTAACTGTAATTGTATTTTGGGTAATTTTAATATAGTATTTACATGATTGCATGGCAAGCAGGTGGGCAAGTAGAGTAGATTACAGGCTGTTGGTTACATTTCACGGTGGTAAATGTAACCAACTCATTATTTAAAGAGAAAATCACAATCAGCTTCACATGCTCTTTACAATTAATATGTATTTTTATTAGGTTGTCCACAGTCTGGAGGCATCTTGTGATGTAACAAAATCCCTGAATGCATATGTTAAAAGAAATAAATAGCAGCATAATTATTTTACTCTGAAGCTAGTGATAGTTATTACCCCAAAGTTTAGATAAACTCCTAATATTTAAATTATTTCTAAAAATGGGTATTGCGTTGTGATGGAAATCCAAACTAATTTTATGTTGGTTTCCATGTGACAGTAGTTAAAGTATACCTTAAATATATTCCCTTTTTTTCATTTATCTTGAAGTTGAGCCCTGATTGACTGGTAAGGGATGTTATCTACTGCAGTATTTCTCGAATGGAAGCATAGATATTCTTTCCAATATGCAAGAAAAATTTGAAAACATCTCTGAAAATCGTTAACTCTTACAGGAGACTAGTAAAGTTTAATTCATTGTCTTCAGTGATGATTTGTGTCATCCAAGCATTTAATATACTAGTAATGCTTGCGAATTGAATAGATGGTAATTTCATAGCAATATTAAACTCTGACTATCTGAAGATTCAAAATAGCTTGAATCTCATATTTTGGTGTTTTTCTATGGCCAGATCCTTTGTATTTGAACATGTAGGGTGACAACATGATGGTATATCAGGTTTAAGATTATGTTCATCACAGGGGCTCCAAACTGGGATATTTGTAAGTTTTATAAATGTTTAGGAATTTGAGGTAGGTGGAATGAAAGTTGTGTACAGCTTTTTCTGAGGTTTGTAGCTGTGTTCACAAACACAGTTAGGAAGTTTAAGTATTTGTGGGTATCTTTCTGTCCTGATTTTTTATAACCATGCTCACAAATATACACTGTTTACAGCTGCAGTAACAGTCAAAATATAAAGCAATCCTGGAAATAATATTTATTATTACTTAGTGCTATCACCAGCAATAAAATCATCAGTTGATCTCCTGTTTCTGTGCCAAAATCTAACCATTCCTGCAGGTATTTTTCTACTTACACAATGAAAAAAAATGAGTGTGCAGTTCTTGTATTATGCACTGTATTTAAATGCATCTGTATAATTACATGGTATGTCTAGCATCCTTCCTACTAAATGCTATATAAACTAGATAGAGTAAAAGCATGAGACATGCTTTTAGAAACATTTTCTAAAACTGTCTTTATTTTGGTTAAAATTCTAGGGTTACAATTTGCAGCATTTTGGGGACTAGAGTCCCACCTAAATTCAGTGGGAAGAGGGCATTTAACTCACCTTTGGAAATCCCTGCTTGTTTTTATTGAACCTTGCCCTCTTCTCCTGTTTTTATCAAACTACATGCTTGAGACAAGTTTAAATGGAGAAACCTGCAATCTTTGACATGTATCTTAACTAAAAGAAATGGGTATTGGCTTTTCTATGGCTGTAGCAACATCTTTTACTCTTAGAACAAACCATCTGCTTAGCTCTGAAGGGGTAGGTTTTGTATTCAGGATCTTATGGCAAGTCAGATTTTGTGAGTGGTGTCACGATGGAGTTGTTTCACAGCACTGTCTTGAGACTGCAGATTCATTTACCTCTCAAATCTTTTGCTCTTCATAGGAGCTTGAGCAGAATCATAATCTGCACTTTGTCCAAGTATCAATACGCTAAGTTACTCTTTCACAGCTTCTGGTGTTTGTGCACTTGCATACACAAAGCCCACGGCTCCTCTGAGCTTTTTAGTGTTACTGCAGGGACAGCCCTGCCTGTTTTCATGTCCCTGCCAGCTTTTTTGCAGCTTTGACTGATAAATAATGGCATTAATTCACTGTGCTCCTCTGCAGGTCTTTTGAACTTCCTGATACAAGCAACAGTTCACATGTAAATGAACACATATAGATATAGTACTTTGTATAGGTAATAGATATAGCAAATGCATATGAAGTGAATATAGATTATTTGTACAATTAAATATAATGCACTGGCAGTTATGAGTCTTCTTCTTGGACCCGTGATTTTGGCATAGTCTGCTCTCATTGTGGTTTTCCTAACGTTTCAACTCCTATTGGAGAGATGAGCTTTATTTTTGCAAAGAACAAATACCTAACTTTTGTGCAAGGTAATTTCAAGCTTACTTTTCAATTAAACAGTTTATTCTACTAATCTGACCTGTAATCAGTAAAGGCAAGGAGAAAATGCACGGAATATAGAGTATTTTCTTTTATGTTTATGGAGCGGTGTATCTCAGGGTGTCCCACGACTGTGTATAGAAGTGCTTAGAGAATCACAGGTTATCAGTACGTTTGCAGTTGATTTTGTAATGGATTCCTTTTGCTCATTGCTGTTGTGTACAGGGGACACTCGAGAACAGGCTGCAAACATGATTGCAAAGAGCCTAGAACTTTTCTAGCACTATTTGTCCCAGAAGCTCTCTCAATGCATGTATTTGCAAGGCAGCAATACAGTTATCCTTCTGTGTGTGTCCTTCTAGCCTGTACCATTATGTTGTGCTCCAGGTGCAATGTAGATGTTAGAAAATCAATATTGCAATACATTTTCATACAGAATTTTAAACCCACAACAAGAGGATTGTTTTCTAATCACCTGCCATTTGAATGTGTGCCTCCAAGACCCCTTGTTCTTAAAGTAAGGTTCACATCTGAGATTCATAAAGCCAGAATCCTTATGGATTTTATTTAAAGGAACTGAGGAAAGGTAAAAGTGAAGAGTACCCATGGTTTTGTACATCAGCTGTCAGCAAAAAGACTTCAAAAAGTACATGTTCACAGAGCATACTACCAAAAGTTTCCAACTTGGATAGAGTAGGCATGTGCATATCTGAAAATTAATTCTATGTGTATTCAGCATACACTGATGGACAATTAATAGGAGGAGACTAATACTTCTTTCTTATACTTCCTGTTTACATATAGCAAAGCAAAAGAGGCTTTCCTAAAAATGCAGAAAGAACGTGACTTCCATCGAATGCATTATAAGCGAGTGGTCCAGGAGAGAAACAGACTTCTTTGTGACATTAAAAGGTAAAAAATGATTTTAATTCCCATACATGCAACATTAAAGGTAATGTCTTCAGCTATTGCCTGGTAGTGAGATAACATGGTGGAATTTAAAGTGCCAAAGTAAAGCTAGCTGCCTTTGGTTAGAGTCCTGGTGTATAGCAGTTCCATCTGACGATTCTGCTGTGTCTCTTAAACAATTTCTAATGATTTTTTTTAATATATTTTCCATGCTATGATATGGCATTAATAAATACATAGTATTTCTAATAGTTGAAAATATAAATGAGGTTTTCTTCTACCCAGATCTTTTTCCATAAAGAGCTAGTGATTTCTGGGTTTGGATCCTTTTTTTTAGGTTCATTTTAAGGGTAACTGGTATCACCCTGAGTTCAGAACCTTTGCATTTATGATTCTCATAGTTGGTATTTTCTGTCCTTTTACATCTTGAACTTCCTATATGAAATTTACTATGTTGCTTTGGTTGTAAATAAGCCCAAACTAGTCCATTGGTACTAAGTTATGATAGTTTATTTTATAAGATTTAATTCTGGAATTCTGTAAGTTTTCTATTAACTGTTGTGCTTATTTCCCTCCACGAGTAGAACTTTTATATTGTCCATCTGAAGATTGCTGGGCCATGTTCTGTGTCTTTAACCTTGAACTCCATAGATACTAATGCAAGACAGCACTATTCATTGACTTATCCTCTGTGTCAGCTTTTTGCAAAATGCAGTATTTCTGAGGCTTATTGTTGTGTGTTTCTCTTGAGAGATTATATATCTGATTTTTAGTTGGTTTGGCGAATTAAAGTGTTTAAGTATGTGAAGAAAGAAATAGTAATCATATTATGAATGATTTGTCTAGATTAGGATCTTACTTGGTAGCTGGATAATAGCTGTGTTTCTCTTTCTTCCAATGAAATATCATCCATCTGCAAAAACAAAAGAAACTAACACAAATTAATGTGCAATATATGTATGAAGGATTAAGAAAAGGTCAAAACTGGATGGATTGTTTTAAAAGATAGGACTCCACAAACTATGAAACCTCCCATTGATCTGACTTCTTTTTTTTTTTTTTATTTTTTTTTTTCTTGTGGTATTCTGGTTGGATGGTCACATAGTCAATACTTTTGTCTCCTGTGTGTTGACCTTTTGGCACTTTTATTCTTTTATTTGAGGAGGAAAAAAGTTACACAGACATAAATCCCTGATTTATAATTTTTGAGAAGTCATTTGTTCTCTTCTTGTTCACAGGCTGAGGGCACATTATGCATCATATGAACCAGTGCTGAGGCAGTTGACTGAAAAATACCAGACTACACTGAGAGAGAAAATGTTAACTGGTTTGGAGAGAGACAGAGCAGTTGGGCAGGTAAAACGATGGTGAACACCGCTTGCAAAGCTGTGAGCAATGCTCCCATTTGGGTTTTACTTTGGTAAACACACAGGATATTTTTGTTAAAGCAACTTGCTTATGCAGTAGTTAGAAGCAGAATATTTTGTTGAGTTTCATGTTATTTAGTGAAATGTTAATATTGAAAGTATGTGAAACTTGGTGCCACAAAGTAGTAGTTCTCAGTTTCTACTTGCTCATTGCTGCTCTACCCGAGTCAGCAGTGTGCGGACCCTGGTTTACTTTCAGTGTCAACAGTTTGAGGAAAGGTGTGATATTCCCACAGATCCGTATACATCTCTGTCATTAGAAATCTTTTATTTAAGCTTTCCTTATTGCTATTTGTTATTTTATTTTTCCTAAATGTATCCAGGAATGACCTACTAGTTTAGGAAAAAAAACATTAGGAGACAGTTTTTCTGTCTCATGGTTGGAATAATGGGGTAGTATTTTACTCCTATAACCTTATCTGATGTATAGGTTGATATCCATGATATTCTACCCCTTTAGCAGGAAGTGCTAGAAGCACAGATAGGATGGATGAAGAACAGAAATTTATTTTGCATATGTTTAAGCAATAGGTTGTTCCAAAAAAGAGGATGAAAAAAGAAAGGAAAAAAACCCCAAACCCTCCAAACCCTCACAGAATGCATTGCATTTCAGCAGTAGCATCAATTGTATGTGGGTAACACGAAAGGCATTTACCATGCTTGCAATTTCTTATAGTAGTCCTCATCTCTCGTTTCATCCTTTCCTCTGCTTCCAATTTTTCTCAGGTCACCTGAAAGCTTACTTTTAAAAAACTGAGGATTCTATGTTTGAAATTTCAATAAGTAAAAGAAAATATTTTATAGAAAAAGAAAGGTTACTGTCCATATGCAATTATGCTGAATCAGGAGCACAAAACAGAACAGTTCACAGAATCACAGAATGTCAGGGATTGGAAGGGACCTTGAAAGATCATCCAGTCCAATCCCCCTGCCAGAGCAGAAACCTAAATGAGATCACACAGGAAGGCATCCAGGCGGGTCTTGAATGTCTCCAGAGAAGGAGACTCCACACCCTCCCTGGGCAGCCTGTTCCAGGGCTCTGTCACCCTCACTGTAAAGTAGTTTTTTCTCAAGTTTAAGCAGAACCTCCTGTGTTCCAGCTCACACCCATTGCTCCTTGTCCTATTGTTGGGCATCACTGAGAAGAGCCTGGCTCCATCCTCATGACATTTGCCCTTAACATAGTTGTAAACATTAATTAGGTCTCCCCTCAGTCTCCTCTTTTCCAAGCTAAAGAGACCCAGCTCCCTCAGCCTTTCAGGCTAATGCTAATTTCAGTTCCAATGCTATGAAATTTCAGGAACATATGTAAGGGTGTCCAGTTATGAATTGTACGCATTTTGGAGTGATGGCTTTTTTATAACATGTCAAATCATATTTTGTAGCATTTTCTTATGATAAAATTGTATGTCATGTTGTGCCATTAAATTAGATCAGTGTTGTGATAGCAGTGGTTAAAAGTTGATGGTGCAGTAAGAGTGTTCTGTGTCTGCATTGTTTTAATAGAGCTGTAAAAATATTTTGAGAGATTCGGGATGGCTAGTATTTTGTCACGTTGTTTCACTAGGCCTTTCCAAAATCTTAAATTAGGGGTAATGTTTATAACTTAGAGACAATAATAAAAAAAATCAATAATTATAGATGGAATTTATCACTTAAATATGCAGGCATAAATGCTGTGTGTTGTGAACAGACAGTTCAAAACCAATGCTTTCATATTATCTCTTGTTCTCTCTTCTTTTTAAAATTAGGTTAAAGGTTTGCAAGCCACATTCCAAAATTTAGGTTTTGGACCTGCTTTTCAGATTCCAGTGACAAAAGGTAAAATATTCCCATCACCAGACTCAGACTGGTTATACGTGTTTTGTTGTTGTGATGCATTTAAAAATCTAATATAACAGTAAATCAAGCATACTTGTAATATAAACATTTTATCAGCTGTCCTGGTGACAGAGCAATGATTTATCATTTGAATGTTTATTCTAAAATGCATCCACTAAGGACAGTTAAACTGCTGATGGCAACATGGAATGTGTGAGTAACCATGGAAGGACTTAGTCCTAGAAATCTATTTTGTTTCTGATTTTATTTTATTCACTAATTCTTACACTTTTTTTTAAAATGTTCATGTTCTTTTTCATCTCACTGTAAGAAGCTACATATGTAGTCTGGAAACATTTTGAAAATACTGCTGTTATGAAATCCAGCCTCTTATTTTAGCGTGTCTCACTTCTAGAGGAGGTTGCTAAGGTTATATAATGCCTGCTGGAATAATATCTTTATCTGTATGGTGCTACACTACTTCCCTGGTGTTTTATTAAATTATTTTTTTCTAATCCCGTCAGAAAAAAGCCTAGCACCTCTGCTTTCCTCAGTAAAGTAAGCCCATGCTGTCACTTGCTTTGTGAGCATCACTCCCACTAATAATTTTGAACCTCTTTTCCAGTTTCAGCTACATTTGACATTGAGATAAATCCCAAATAAACTAGGCTTCTAAAAGACTCCTGAAAGTAAATGAGATAATGAAAAAAAGAAACAGTGAGCTCTACCCTCTCTGACAACAGAGTATTCACCCGAAAAGTGGATGTTGTACCTGCCTTAGTCATGAGCAGAACTCCAATCAGAGATTGCAGTTTATTTGACAGTAGAGAACCATTAATTTCTCAGCCACATAGGCAAACCAGTTATTAGGTATTGTATAATACAACTTCCAGGTGAAACATTTGTTGCAATTAGAACATTTTTTATATCTGTTTCTTTTGTGTTTTTTCCTTTTTTCCTAAAGGCCTAAACTTCCCTTTGCACTGCTAATATACCCCAGGTAAAAAGGCATTGAGTTACCCCAGCCTTTGGCAGTCAAGCTTCATTAGTTGCCACATTCATGGAGTTAATTCCATTGTATAAAATTCCTGTAGGAAAGACAAGGCTGAGAAGAGTAGTAGCCACAAACTTTGTTATTTTTTTTTCTTGGATTTGTAGTTGAGTGAAAAGGATAGCAAGCATTTCCTTGACTATTAAGATGGCTTTATTAATGCAGACATTTCAGCTACCATCCAGATCTTTGCTACTGCCGGCCTATTATAAGTGTAGCATGTTTGGTTTGATTTTTTTTCCTTCAAATTCTATCTAATGTAGAATTGAAGTTCAAGCAGTTGGTGTCCTAAATTGTCATGAATTGCTACGAGCACGGGACTGAGGTCTAATTATCTGAAAGATCCCCCTCATCCTAGCTTGGGTCTTGGTTTCCACGCAGCAGTGGGAGACTTCCATAGCTGAGGAGTCGCTTGGAGCACACCCTAGTACTTTTCTAAACTACTGTTTAGTTAAGAGCATAGTTGCTTTCATTTCTGGGAGAACCTGGAAGGGTTCTGGAGTCTTATCCAGTATAAACTAAACTAACTTTAATTCTGTGTACAAGCAAATAGCTACTAAACTAATAACTTCTGTAAATATAGACTTCAGATGTGTTAATACAGTGGAATACTGAAGTACTGGCAGCAACATTCTTCAGTGTTCACACTATCTTTCTTACTTAAGATTCTGATGCCTTTTTTTGGTATTAATTAGTGTCATACTCCTCAGCAAGGCCCCCAAGTACCTTTCTGTAGCTGTATGTACTGGATACACTCTGCTGTAATCTTTAAATCGTGTTACAACTGAAAGTATAAACCTCTGCTGCACTAAAGAGCACAGTGCTCATTTTCATCCTGTTTCAGATAGGGAGGTAGAGGACAGGCTTTTTATTTTATGTTGGTTTAGGGCATACAGCATTCAACTCTTCATTATACTCAGACTTGAGGATATATATTGTGGGTTCTTTACCCATGCTAGTATTTTATGGTATAGATGCCCCATATGTCCCTTTCTTGTATTTCACATGCTTTCATTTGTTGTTTCAGCAATTCTAAAAAAACACTCTCTGGCTGTTCACAGTACTTGTTTATTCTGCAAAAATTTTTAGTGATTTATAATACCAAAAAGTGACAAGTGGGGAATCACTTTATAAAAAATAATATTTAAAAAAATCGCTTAGTCTCTAACACAAATTAAGCTCATCAGCCACTCATGTGCTTGTACAAGCCTTAACTTGCTTCATACCCTGTGTATCCTAAGTTAAGCACTACTTCATTTCTTTCTAGTGCTTTATCCTCTAATACTACATAATTCTTATTGCCCTCTGTACGTCATATTCACATCTCAGTGGATGATACTGTCTCTTATTTCAGATGCTTTCTGCTGCCTCTTGAAATGTAGTCATATTCTGTTGCCTCTTGAATTCTTATTCTTGAAACAGTATAACTGAAACCATGAGAAGCAAGCAGTGCATAGGTACTGGAGAAATGTTTGCTGTTCTTAGTTTGGAAGGAACTAGTGCTGTTAGACTTGCAAATCTCCACTTTGAGACCTACAGCTGCATTTTTTCAGTTGCCCTCTCTTTAGGGCTGACTTTTATGCATTAGTTTATTGGTACATTGTAATTATGAGATATTGAGCATTGATATTGGCAGGTTACCATTTCCCAAGGTAAGATGCCTTCCCTGGAGAGCTGTCTGCTTTCACTGCAGTGCAAAGCATGAACGAATGAGAATGGCTGATCCCAGCAGCTGGAGATTGCTCATCACTGCTCCTGGTGCTACTCCTGTACCACAACCTGACTTGACCTGAAGAGCACCTGGAATGCTGGCTTTGGCTGGAGGGCACTGAGAGTGGCTTCTAATTAATTTTGGGTTTGTCCAAGTGTTTGAGGTTTTGAATAGTGGCAATGAGATCCTGCACATCCAGTCCATTGTGGATTTGTGTTTTGCTTGAGGTTTATTTTTCAAGGGTGTCATATAGTGACAGAATGAAGAACAACAGGAAGCTTCACGGTATTCACAATGAGTTTGCATTGTAAATTTGTATCTGGTGGCTAGGTCAGGGGGGAAAAAAAAAGTTAATTTTGGGAGTACTATTCTGGACTTATTACTTAGGCATTTGATGTAGCAGCTTTCAGCCTGATGCATTTCAAACAGTTGAAGAGGATAGCATTGACAATACAGAGCATGTAACTTATTTCCTAGGGTTTTTTGCTGTCCCACTGACAGATTGCTGTTTAGCTTTGCAAACAGTGCTTTGTACGCAGATTGTTCAAGATGAAGTTTTCTTTAGGTGTCTTGAAAACTTCTAATAATTTTTATTTCCTATTTAGTTGTTTAAAGTTGATATTGAAGGACATGTAATAATTGTAGGGGAACTAGTTGACAGTTAGGATTAGGACTCAGTCATCTTGTAGACTGTTTATTTGTTTCTGCTATGCTCACTCAGAAGCCAGCTTTGAAAGAAGAGTTGTATTTTGAGTTCAGATTATTTTTTAAAAGGATTGGATGTTTTGTGTGAGAAGATTTGTGTTAAGTGGTACTCTGAAAAAAGATCACTCTTGGCTGAAAGAATTAAGCAGTGTTGATTGTGGCTTGCTTATAAACCCAAGTGAATACTACTATAACAACTGGTTCTAAAAACATCTTATAAACCTGTTACTTGCTCATTGTGTTTTTTGTATTTTCTAAAAACAGCAGCTGCTTATTTATTACCCAATTATATTCAAAAGTTGACCTCAGTGAGTTTCTTTACTTAAGGTTGAATTAACTCATTGCTAAGACTGTTAACTGTGCTTTGCCTTTCCTTGATCTGATGTAATTGCTGTTAGAAGGTCATGCAAAAAGAAATTTAAAACACACCAGTTAAAGTACTTAAATCTTGTTGTCCCCATTCCATCTACGATGCAATCGGAATAG